AAAAATGAAAAACAAATGAAAGAAATGAAAGAAATAAAATGAAAAATAAATGAAAGAAAAATTTAAAAAAATGAAAGGAAAACCACTTTGCCCTCCATACGGTCACAAAGACTTCCTTTTATTTTTTTCTTCCAGAAGCTTTGCAGTTTTCGTTTTTAGGTTTGGGTTGAAGACCCATTTCTAGTTATACGTGTGCGATTTGGGCGTAGGGTCAAGGTTCATTTTTCCCTCCCATGAATGGCCAGTTGTTCTAGCACCCTTTGTTTGAAAGACATTCCTTTCCTCATTGAATTACTCTGTCAAAAATTAACTGGGCGTATATGAGCCTCACAATTTTTTATTTCTATTAGAACTGAATGCGCCCACATCTGGTCATGCCCACTACTGACCTCCTTTCCATAGAGAGCCTGTAAGACAAGCTGATAGCTGGGGGAAAGGAACCCACACGAGATACCTGTTTTTGTACGACACACGTATGATGTTTTCTGCTCTTATGGGTGACTTAATCTTTCCACAAGCTCATAGCCACACACTGTGTTTTGTGTGTTTGTGATACGGGAGGGAAGACATTTCCTGGATGCTACCTCGGTTTCTTACAGTCTGCATTAAGTATCTGCGGACTTCAGCTTCTATTCGTTTCTTTGCGCTGGTATTATCAGCTTATAGCTTGAGACTCTAGGACATGGAGATCGTATCTGTGAATGCCATTTTCATTTGTAAAGCACCTAGCTCAATGCCCGGGGCGTGTGTGCAATTTAGTCAGTAGGACTGAGGTTATGGCCAATTCACTATCCCTCAGTTTCCTCATCTATTTATTGGCATGAAGGCTCATCTCTATTTAATTCATTTCAAGTCAGGACCATGGGCTGTTTGTTCATGTAAAGAGAGACCATCTGATAGTAGCTGGGGAAGGAGACTTGACAACTTTAATCAGGCTGATTTGGTTCTCTTGGAGACTATTGATGTGTGATATCTAGAATGCAGCATGGCCTGGTCTTTGTTGATATCACCTATCTTTCAGATCAATAGTTTTTAGAATAGTTTTTAGAATAGCTGAAATTAAAGGAACTGCTTTATACCCCTCCACAGTGTGCGCCCGTGGGCCTGGGCTATATCTCTACATCCCAGCTAGAGTTGATGGCCCCAGCCCGGGAGAATTCTGTGCCTGCTGCCTCGCTCCCAGCACTTATGTACAGGGAAGTCTTCGTCCTGGTGAACACGGAGGGCCACCCTGTCTGGAAAGTGAAGGGAAGAGATATCATGGAACGGCAACATGTACTGGAGGTGAGATGAAGGATATGTGAATGTTGTTGCTTGACAGCCTACGAAGTGGCCCCATGTTGCCATGGTGACGGAGGCCTGTTGACGCTAAGTGTATGAGCAGCTCCCACGTTTTTTATAGCAGCTGGTCAGTGCCACTGCCTTCTCTGAATTGCTGCCCCCCTGAGTGGGTGCGTGGCCCCAGCTGTCCTGATCTCTGTTGACAAATGGTTGTCCTTCACAGTCAAACTACCAGCAGTACTCTAATTAATGAATGTGCTAATTATCCTTCCCTACTCCCAGCACATTTGTCTAACTAACCTGTCACACGCTGTAAGTGCAGCACAGGCATGATCACGGGGGTGCTGGGAGCAGGGATCTGGGAGCAGAGGGCTGGGCTCATAGCTCGGAGCCGTGGGATAGTTCTAGTTAAACCACCTTTACAACAGTGGGGTGTCTGGGGAATATGTTATTTCCTGTGATGTGTATTTGTTTTCCTTTCCTTCCTTTTAAAAAAATCTTTCTTGGGGCGCCTGGGTGGCTCCACCGGCGAAGCCTCTGACTTCAGCTCAGGTCATGATCCTGCAGTTCGTGAGTTCGAGCCCCGAGTCAGGCTCTGTGCTGACAGCTCGGAGCCTGGAGCCTGCTTCAGATTCTGTGTCCCTCTGTCTCTGCCCCTCCCCCTCTGTGCTCACACACTCTGTGTCTCTAAAATAAAATAAACTGAACATTAAAAAAATAAAAAATAAATCTCTCTTTAGGGGCCTTGGGCCATTGATTAATGCCCTAGCCTCTGAGGGGCCTGCCCAGCACCGATGCAGAAGCACCAGCGAGTCCCAAACTCTGAAAACTGTTCCAGAAGCAGCATTCAGAGCGGTTGAGGACCTAGCCTTTGAAGCTAGAGGAACCCGGGTTCGAATCCTGGTCCTGCTCCTTTACTACACGTGGGTCCTTAGGCATGGAGTTTAACCCCTCTGAACTTCAGTTCTAGCCCTTTGGGCAATGGGAGGAGTAACCTGTGCACAGGGCGCTGTGTTGAGAAGCAAAAGCACAGGCCGATCAGGGCCTCGGGG